GGTTTTCCTTAGGGAACTGATGTCTGGCCTTCATCTGAACAGATTTAGAAAACACAGTATCAGTGAATTGTACTTACCCAAAGGATATTCATTCTCCCCCCCCCCTCCCTTCCATCCCTCCCTCATATGTGTGAGGGGTGTGTATAAGTGTACATACATGTGTATATGTGTTTATAGACCAGAGGGCAACGTTGGGGTGCCATTCCTCCTCAGGCACCATCACCTTGTATTTGAGTCAGGGTCTCTCACTAGAAGCTGGGAGTCACTGATAAGGCTAAGGCTAGACTGGGCTTCTTTTTTGAGACAGGGTCTTACTGTGAAGACCAGACTGCCCTCAAACTTTGAGCAATGCTCTTACTTCTGCATCCAGAGTGTTAGGACTAAAAGTATGAATCATCATACCTGGGTACAAGGGATCAGCCCCTGGTGTGGGACAATTCTATATTCTGTCAATTATATTCTAAATAAACGCTAATTGGCTGGTAGCCAGTCAGGAAGTATAGGCAGAAAACCAGACAGGAAATAGAGGCGGGGCAATGGGACAGGAGTATTCTGGAAAGGAGGAAGCCCATTCTACCCGCCCAAGTCCTGCCCAGATCACCGAAGAAGCAGGATGTGACCTGCCTCACTGAAAAGGTACTGAGTCATGTGGCTAACATAGATAAGAATAATGGGTTAATATAAGATATAAGGGTTAATAAAAAGCCTGAGCTAATGGGCCAATCAGTTGATAAATTATGTAGACCTCTGTGTAATTTCTATGGGGGTTATTGGCTGTGGGAACTGGGCAGGACAGAAACCCCAACAAGCAGGCTCTCGTGTTACACTCCCCTCTTCTTTCCACAGTAAGTATGAGCACTTTCTCTGTGCCTGGCATTTGTGGACATTAAGGGCACATGCATTCCATGGCCCATCCTTGCCCTCACTACCACAGGAAGTCTAGAATTTGTAACAGGAGCACTTGTGACACTCTGCCTGGGGCTGGTGCTTCCTGGAAGGGAAATCCAAGTTACTCCTTTTCTCCAGGCAGATACACATTACCCAAACTCTCAGGACAGACATAAAAAGTGGGGGAAAAAAAGAAAAGAAAGAAAGAAAGAAACAAACACAGTTCCTTATTAGCCACAGAATAGAAATATATTCGCCTACACAGCTAGCCTGATGCAATTTGATGAGAAGTTCAAAAGGAGGTGGGTAGTGTGGTGCATGCCTTTAACACCAGTGTATGGGAGGCAGAGACAAGTTGGTCTCTACAAGTTTGAGGCCACCCTGATCTACATATCTAGTTCCAGGACAGACAGCCAGGACTGTATAGTGAGATCCTGTCTTTAAAAAAAGAAAGGACAAAACCAGATGATAAGTGTACTTTTTATGCGTGTGTCTGTGTCTGTTAGTAAGCACCTGTACATACCCTTAGAGGTCAAAAGAGGGTGTCTAATGCCCTGGAGCTGCACTCACAGGTAATTGTGAGCTGCACAGCGGGGGTTCTAGAAACCTAGCCAGTCCTCTACAAGAGCAACAAGCGCTCTTAACTACAGAGCCACCTCCAGCTCTGCCCCCCCCAAAGGAAAACAAAACAAAGTCTGCAGAAGAAATAGACCCACACATAAAGGTCATAGCTGCAGTCCTCAGTAAGCCTGTAACTCGAGGAGCCCTTGGCTCCAGTGGCTTTGGCCCTATTGTCAAGCAAATTTACAGACTTGGTGCTTAAAAGAAATACTTCCCGTAGCAAAGGTGAAAACAATGTAGACAATGTGGGTGGAGGAATACCCCTTAAAGCTGGGTGTGGTGGCACACACCTTTAATTTCACTAGCACTCAGTAGGCAAAGGTAGGTGGATCCCTGTGAGTTCGAGGCCTGCGTGGTCTGCAATGGGAGTTCCAAGACAGAACTGCGTAGAGAAAACCTGTCTCAAAACAAACAAAACAATTTAGAAATATAGACCTGAAGCAATATTTTAGGCCTGTAATTTGAACTCTCAGTAGACTAGATTAGCATGCAGTCCAAAGCCAGCCTTAGCAACAGAAGTGAAAAACAAAAGAGGCCATGAATTTGAAGGAGAGTGAATGACAGGGAGGATTTGGAAGGAGGAAAGAGAAGGGAGAAATGTAATTAAATTATAATCTCAATGGGATGGAAAGATAGTTCAGCAATTCAGAGCACTGGTTGCTCTTCCAGAGGACCAGGGTTCAATTCCCAACACCCACATGCCAGATCACAACTGTCTGTTACTCCAATTCCAAAGGATCTGACACCCACACAGAGACAAACATACAGGCAAAACACCACTACACATGAAATAAGAAAATCATAATCTCAAAAATAAAAAAGGAGGAGCTAGGTGGTGAACACTTTTAATCCCAGCATTTAGGAGGCAGAAGCAGGTGGATGTCTGTGAGTTTGAGGCCAGCTTGGTCTACATAGTAAGTTCCAGGACAGCTAGGGCAACATACAGAAACCTTGACTCAAAAATAAATAAATAAATAAATAAAACCAAAACAAACAAACAAAAAATCAAGTAGGTTTGATTCAGGGAGGTGGGAGGAGAACCTGCCAGAAGCTATCTTTCCCTGCAGTTTTAAAGGTTGCATATTCATTTCTGCTACAGTATATTCTTTTTTTTTTTTTGCCCAGGTCTCAAGGAGTTACTTTATAATTTCTGCTACAGTGTAATTCTTTTTTCAGTGTGTGTGTGTGTGTGTGTGTGTGTGTGTGTGTTTGAGACAGGGTCTCACTGTTGTAGCTCTAGTTGGCCTGGAATTTGCTATGTAGCTAGCGATTAGACCAGGCTAGCCTTTAATGCACCACCATGCCTGGCCTGGAAGTAACTATTCAGGCTCAGGAAGGATGAGCCTGAATCTCTGATTCTCCTGCCTTTGCCTCCCAAATGCGGGGATTACCGGCATTTGTCACCACGCCTAGTTGACACACTAATAACTAAAATAAGATGTAAAAATACTATTAAATCTCACCACTCAGGAAAAATATTAACATATTGAGGAGTAACTTTCTTTTCTTTTTTTTCTTTTTTTTGCTTTTTATTTTTGTTTTTTGAGACAGGGTCTCTCTATGTAGTCCTGGCTGTCCTGAAGTTCACTATGTATACCAGGCTGGCCTAGAAATCACAGAGATCTGTCTACTTCTGGCTCTCTGAGGCTGGGATTAAAGTTGTGTGTCACCATGTCAGGCTTATTTTTTGTTTGTTTATTTATTTATTTGCTTTTTCAAGACGAGGTTTTGTAATAGCTCTGTGTAATAGCTCTGGCTGTTCTGGAACTTGCTCTGTAACCAGGCTGACCTTGAACTCAGAGAGACCTGCCTACTTTTGCCTCTCAAAGGCGTGCCCAATCACTGTCAGGCCATTTCTTTTGTTTCTCGAGACAGGGTCCAGCTATGCAGTCCTGACTGGCCTGGAACTCACTATGTAGGCCAGACTAGTCTCGAACTCACAGAGATGCACCTGTCTCAGTTTCCTGAGTGCTGGTCCTAAAGGCTTGCACCACCATGTCAGGCTGAGTATTTTTCTGACATCTGTTAAAAATACATTAATGTTCTATATTAATGAGATCTTTTTTCCTAAGTCAAAACATTTTCGTAATTTTAGTAGCTGCTGGGTTATTCTATTATACTATATTTTAATTATTATACTATAACTTAACTACAGTGCATTTTGTCACTCAAAACTATGGAGAACTGCACTACTAATCGATTCTAAGTTTTGCTCAGACAGTTTTCCTTGTAGAAGATGAGAGATGTTATATAGAGTCTGGCTGTCAGTTCTTGTCATTTACCATCTGCGTCTTGAAAAATGTTTTTGTTTTGAAATCTAAAATGTGGACTAAGATGTCTGAATAATGGTACTTTCCCCAAATTAAAAATAATAATTAACATTAAGAATTTTCTCAATTGAACTGAGTTGTACTGTCGTTCAGAGATTGGTTAAGTGCTGGTGTTGTATGTATGAGACCCTTGGTTTGATCACAAGTACCATAAAACAAACAGATAAAAAAGAAAACATAATGAAAACCCCTAAACAAATATCAATAACAAATCCAACACTGCTTTGCCCTAAATTGAAGTTTCCTATCACTTATGTTATTAAATTTTGGCTTCTGCTATCATTGTTTTGCGTTCATTTGTAGGAAAAGTATATTTGCACAGATTTTTATAAAGAATTAGTTTTAAAAGCGTTTGGATTTCACGATGGTCTGTGACTTCTAGATGCTAGGCTACTGAAGAGCTGGTTCCATCAGATAAGAACAGGGACTATTTCTGTGGGAGGACCTTCTCCATCATGTCAAGGAAAATAATTGTTTCAGTAAACCAAGTTCACTGACATTTTTAATAGTAAAACGTATGGTGGAGAAAGCAAGAAACATTCAACACGAATTAATCTTGGATTCAGCGTGGAGAACTGTGCTGGAAGTCAGAGCAGTTCAGCCAAGGTGAACAGGCCTCCAGCCCAAAGGAACTCTGGACAGTTAACCCGTGGTGAGAACTCTGGTAGAGAAACTGTACTTTGGGCAAGTGTCCAATGTCTCAAATTCTGAGATTACACGTCCCACTTCGAAAAAAGCAAAGTTAGAGTCCTTTATTCACAAATCAATTCTAAAGAAGAGCAACAAAAGCAGAGACACAAAAAAGTGTCTCCGGTTCTATTCTTTCTCAAACTCTGGAGTATTTTAAAACTTTTCTTGTAGGTTAATAATGACTACCTTCCGGTACCGCGACATTGTCCTTCAGAGACTACAAGCCCCAGTAGGCTGTACACGCGGAGCAGCGGGTACTTTTCCCTAGGACGCCCCTATCCAGATCCCTGGCTGAACACTATTGCCGCATAGCCTTCTGGAACTTGTAGTCTACTCCCTTTTCCTGTCCGCGCAGACTCGAGCGGCCTCTGTCTGCCCTTCGGCCCTAACCGAAGCCCAGCCCAGAATTCGACGCTCCCCACCCCCATCAAGCTGCCTTCTCTCTGGAGCCAACCTCCTCCGGTCACGTGGAGAACTTTCACGATGCGATTGGCTGGGGTGTGAAGGGGGCGGGGCCGAAGCCCCTGCGAGGTTCCGTGCCCCTGGTCCAGCCGCTTGTTTGGCTGCTGCCGTCACCTCATGGCGACTCGGGTTGAGGAGGCAGCGCGGGGAACAGGCGGCGGTACTGAGGAGGCTGTTGAGGGCGAACGGGACGAACGGCGACGCAATCCCAGGCAGAAGGTCAGTGGAGGGGATGCCTTAGTTGGGGTTGGGTCGCGGGAATGATTGGGTTACCTTTTCAGGGTTTACCTCTTCACTTACCCCCCTTTACCTTTAGCCGCGGGACGAACATCCGGCCCCTTTCCCTCAGAGGGGTGACGATAGTTGGGAGCAGGTGGGGGTGTGATACTAAAATGGATCGGGTGGGAAAGGACTACGGTTGGGACTTGGGGGCACTCGGCGGTAAAGGGTTGAGGGAGGACAGGATAGACCCGGGGCAGGGAGGGCGAAGGGGTGCTAGGCAGGGACGCTTCAGGTATGACAGCCACGTGCGGCCGGTGCTGCCCCGGGGCGTCAGGTGTTCTCTCAGCCCGTGTGGTCACTGTGCGCTGGGACTCCCCTGCCCGTGGAGGCGGTGGGGTGCGGTGGGGGAGGCTCCCCGAGGTCCAGGATTGCCCTCTCGGCCACCGGCAGGTGCGTAGGGCGCGCTGCGGGGTGCTCCCCGGCCTCGGAGCTGAGGCTGTTGCGCAGTAAGATAACAGCGCGGGAGCTGGGGCTGCGCTTCGCCCCTTCCCCCCTTCCCTCTCCCCCCCCCCCCCCCGCCTTTCCCCCCGCCAGTGCGCGGGCGGCTACGCAGGGGACGCTGCGGGGTTCCCAAGACCCGCAGCCGGGGCTTGGTCTCTGGGCATCACCGACTTGTCTTGCTTGTGAGGCTGAGGATGAGAAGGTGATGCTGGAGAAAGAGCATCGTCGTCTGGTAGCAGTCTCCACATTCCTGCTACTACCCTCTCTTTCTTTTCTTTCTTTTTAATTTGCTAAGTGGAAACTTGAGTGCCTCCTGGGCTTGGGTTTTGGTCTTTTCTTAATCTAGGAGAAGAGCTGGACCGTTTGTTCCCCCTTGCCTTACTTGACTCGTGTCAAGGAGTTTTCAGTGTCTCCCTGGATACAGGAAAATCGAGATCTCTTTCAGAATAGGAGAATTCCACTTGTTCTGAAGCTCAGTGGGTGGAGTTTTGACAACGATTGCACAACGAATAGGGTACAGGGCTTTCGGGCCCCAGGAACTGAGAACTGGGGTGTATGGTACTGGAAAGGTGGAAATCCCATCCTTTTTCCTTGCAGGAGAACATACCGAAACCGCTCAACTTGTTGGACACCCTGCTTGACCACTGAGGGCTATTTAATATTACTTAATTATGTATTTGACTAATCTTAAAAGCCACTCCTGTATGAAGTTACGAAATAATATTTTTCTAATGCGATTCATGAACTTCAAAAGGGAGAACAAAGGTCTGGTTTACATTTGAGCAGTGTCAAGAATTGGCTTTTTGGGGCATGTCCCTTTTCTCCCTCACTTTTTTTGTTTTTAAGATGGATTCTCACCCTGTAGCAGGCTGACCCCAGTCTTGCCTTGGACTTGAGACAATCCTCTCCTCTTGCCTCGGTTTCCTGAGTGCTGAGATTCCAGCTGTGAGCCACCACTCTGGCCTTTGGTGCTTGTCTCTAGGTTCAAGTATTTTCATGTTATTCTGTCTTTTATAAGAAAAAAAGATCTGCTGCTTGAAGGACTGAAAAAGAAGCTGTGGTCCAACATTTCTTTTGGGATTCAACACTGTCACTTTGGACATTTATTCCCTGAGGGTGGGGAGCCAATCTCAGTGTTTGATTTCATAGGTTCCCCAGGGGAGAGCTCTGATAAAAAGCCACTGCAATTGAGGATATAAGTTCCCTTTTATGCCACTGGAATAAGGACAAAAAGTCATTGAATTAGGAAGTAAAGTTTAATCAACTAGTATTTTAAACTCTGAGGACAAGAGGTAATGACTCTTTGAATCCAGAACTCTGGCTAATAGCTGGTATATGAATGGTCTTATATGTTTAATGTCTTATTTTTACTTTGTATTACTTTGTATTTGCTCATGCTTTTCTGGGAATCTTTCTTTTGGTTTCCTTCTGACTATAAAATGGAATAGAAATTAACATTATTTTTGAATTTTCTGTTCAAAATTGGATGAACATCTTGTGTCTGTAAAATTAATTTTTAGTTGCTCACTTATGATCTTCAATTTATTGATTCTAGGTTAGTAACCTGAGAAAAACTCCTTTTTTCTAACTTACCCTCTATACTTTTGTTTTTCAGGAAGCAGAAATAATATTACACAAATTCAGTTGTTTTTAAAATACTGGAGGAATTGAAAAACATGACTTGTTATTATTTGGTTATATTATAGGACCGGAAGTGAAGAAAACTGGAGATGGGCTCTGTTGGTTCCTGGTTCAAATCATCTGCCTAGTCACTTATTTTTTTTGAGGCAGTGTCTGGCCTTCCAAGTACTATACAAGTGGAATTACTACACCCACTTTAAAAAAAAGAGACAGAATCTTGCTATGCTCATCTGGGTGGCCTTGAACTCTGGGCTCAAGTGCCTAGTCACTCTTAAGCTGCTCAGTTAATTATAACATGGTTTCATAACTATATTCATGTGAATGGGCTCTTGGGGTAACTTCTTCTAAAGGTAACATTGCAGTATATTTCTAGGTGTCATTTAAGGAATTGTCTTAAAACTGCTGGTATTATAGGCACTAACCATGTTGCTATCTTTTTTTTTAATATTAGGGATTGAGTAGTGGAGATTACAGTCTATACCCCTGGACCCAACTACAATTTGTTAAAGTTAAATAAAATTTAAAAATTCTCTTTTTCAGTTATACTAGCCAGATTCAAGTATTCCAGTAAAAGTAATTAATATGGCTATGCTACAGTTTCCGGGTTTTTTTTTTTAAATATTGCAGGCATTTCTTAAAAACAAAGAACTATTAAGTTTACTCATTACTTCCTATTTCATAAAGTTGATCATAAAATATCAAGACACCTAAGCGGTTTGTAAATTTACAGAAAAATTGAGCAGAAAGTAGAGTTCTCCTATGTCTGCTCACACATATCCCATCCCCTTATTTAGATGTTGCAGCAATGTATTATAATTTGTTACAATTGTTCAAGCACCATAGATACATTATTACTGACTAAGCCCATAGTTTACATGGTTCAGTAATGTTCTACAATGTATGAATTTTGACAAGTATATAATAACATACGTCCAGAGTAGCCTGTGCTCCACCTAGTTATTCTTCCTAACTCCTGGCACTAGCTGATTTTTTTTCCTTTTAGTTGGATGTTATTTATTTAGGTGTGTGTGTCAGTCATAGTATATGTGTGGTGGTTAGAAGACATTTACCACAGGGGTGCCTAGGACTTAAACTTGGGTTAGCAGCAAGTCCTTTATCTACTAAACTATCTTGCCAGCTTCTGGTGTGTTGTTTTTTGAAATAGTATTTTATTGTGAAGCCCAGGCTGGCCTCAAATAGAGTGATCCTCCTACCTTAGCCTTCTGAGTGCTGAGATTACAGGCATGTGCCACCATGTCGTGTTAACTTGTCGCTGTATGTATGTATTTATTGCGAGACAGGGTCTCACTGTGTAGCCTAGAGTGTGCTACCAAACTGGTCGTTTAACTGTCTCCATAGTTTCGTCTTTTCTGAATGTTTCAGTGTTTTTGTTTTTAACAAAAGTTTTGCTTTTGGGAATGTTAAAAGATGATTTGACTTGGGACAAGAGAGATGCTTCAGACATTAAGAGCACAACTGCTCTTGCAGAGGACCAGAGTTTAATTCCTAGCACCCATATCGGGTAGCTTACAACTGCTGGTAACTCCAGTTTCAGGAAACTAATGCCTCGGGCCTCCATGGACACCTGTACATGCCCACACACATACACATAATTAAAAATAAAAGTCTTTACAATTTTTAACTATTACTAAACTTGTTTTTAGACCTGTAAACCCTTTTAAAGACTAAAAGTATATGATACTTGGATACACCTTACCAAAACCTTACATTTATGTAGTGTCCTATCATTATTATAGCATGTTTGCAAGTACATTAACACTTCTAGCATCACTCAGATGCTGTAGAGAAGGTTGGGCAGCTATCATTGCTCTCATTTACTGATGACACACTGCTAGGTAAGGTCAGGTGATTTGCCCAAGGGATGAAGCTAAGTTTGGAACCCAGTGCCCTTTCATCTATACTATGGTAATAAGTAGTATAGTAGTGGGTAAATAGTATAGGTTTTAGAGTCAAGACTCTTGGCTCTCTGCCATTTAATAGCCTTGTAACCCTGGGCACATTTCTCGGGCTACAAGCCTCAATTGTGTTGCCCAGAAAGTGGGAATACTGCTGTGCACACCATATTAGGATTATTGTGACAGTGGGCGTAGTGTAGGGCATATAAAATTTTATATGGTTTAGAAGGAATAATATATGGAAGATCAGATTCTCTTGCTTTTAGGGTACTATTAATTTTGTAATCCATCTTCTAGGCTTTGTATTTTCTTCCCTTCCCAGAATGTCTGTGATAAAGCAGTCAGGGTTGGGCAAGAGTATATATAGTTCAGGAAGGAATCATTTTTATTAATTTTGATTTTTTTCTCCATTTATGAAGTTGAACTTCCATTTTTTGGCAACGATATTAATAAGTAAAGTGATCTAGTTACATTATTTTAGCTATTGCTAAGGTTGCATTAAAGCATTATTAATTGTATGCATGTGTGTAGGTATGTGCATGAGAATGTGGGGGCTAGTAGAGGGCATTGAATTCCCTGGAGCTGGAGTTACAGGCAGTTGTGAGAATCCTGACATGGTGCTGAGATTGGAACACAGATTTTTCTGCAAGAGCAGCAAGTTCTCATAGCTGTTGAACCATTTCTCTGACCCCTAAGCTTTCAAATTTTTAATGGGAGACCTATTAAAAAAACCTAGGTCTACAGGAGAAGCTACAATGGGAACATATAGATACATACAGGCAGTACTTCCTTTTAATAATCTTCACATTTTCATATTATAATGAATGCAATATTCATTTGTGTTTCTTTCTTCCCTTTTTTTCCCTTTGAGATAAGGTCCCACTGTGTATCCCAGCCCAGGTTGCTCTCAAACTTGTGATCCCCCAATCTTAGCTGCCA